ACTTTGAAAAACGAGGTGTAGGAAAGTGTATCTTCAACTGCCTTAGAGGTCGAGGACAGATGAACTTCATCCAATGCAAAAGCATGTGCCACTGGTAAGTATGGAGATATACTGTAAAGGTTTGTGATAGTTTGAATTTTCGCGGTTTTCTACATCCTTGAAAGAAAAGGGCAAAAGTACCAGTATCAAGCGTATTAGCACTGAAGTGTGGGGTTAACTAGATGATACGGTTACGACATTTTCGGCTGTACTCTAATCTATGTTCACTCAGTTAGAAAATAGTGTGACGACAACGTTAAAAGATTATAAAAATGTAGTGATCGGAATACGCTTTAGATAGGCGAAGATCTGTGTCCCCCTCGGCCCTGTTTATTAATGGCCCGCTGCGGCGTAGCCAGATGACCTTACTATAATTCAATGTACACTAACATAGAAAATAGTATGACAAGACAAAATGGACACTACATAATAAAATGAAGTGATTTGGCTACGCTTTGTTTAGATAGGCGGAGGTCTGTGCCCCCCTCGTCCCTGTTCAGCACTTATTCGATGCGGCGTATCCAGATGACCTTAGTTTGCAAAGGATTCTGGTGAAGCCAAAATACTCATTTTACCTTACAATATCACACACACCATATGTTAGCGCTTTTACGCTTCGCATCGGTCGTTTATCTGATAAAGGTGACAGTGTTGCCATCGAAACGTCACACTTAAATCTGCTACTGGTATTATTATTAAAAAAGATATACAGAAGAAATATTTCGACACATTTTAAAGTAATTTTGGCCATTTTATGCCAACCTTGAAAATGAAAATATATAAAACCACCCGAAAATCGCCCCACTAAAAGTATACAAAGAGGAAGAAGTGGTTATATAAACCTATCACATAATATTTAAATATTCTAATGATACTACCATATAGCTGGTAAATTCCACCATCAGAATTATCGGTATTTCCTTAAAAAATGACAGAGTTATATTTTAACTAATTAAAATTTCGCGATCTGGCTGTAAAAGGTTATCTAATACATACGTATCACAATCACGTTAACGCACCACGGAATAGCGAAAATACTATCACCGCGAAAATAACCGGTTATAAGATATGATGCTTCGTACATGATAGCAAGATAATATGTAGGAATTAAGATTTATCAAGTAATTTCTCTTTTTGCACTTCATTCTATTCATAGACACAGTTATACAACTAAGACTATGAAAACCGATTTTGGTTCTACGTATGTTTTTTTTTATTAACATTTTTTTATTATCTATGGTTATATAAGGTGACCCCACTATGTGACTGTGTTTTCGGGAGACAGTGGTAAGTCTCCTTGTAATATTGTGGGAATGATGTCGATTTTACTACTACATTGAAGTATACTACTAAAGGCTCCCAGCAGGACACCCCACCCAGTCACGTTATACTGACAACGGGTGAACCGGTCGTTATACTACTACACTGAAGTATACTACAGAAGTCCCCCAGCAGGACACCCTACCTAGTCACGTTATACTGACAACGGGTGAACCGGTCGTTATACTACTACACTGAAGTATACTACAGTAGGCCCCCAGCAGGACACCCCACCCAGTCACGTTATACTGACAAGGGGTGAACCGGTCGTTATACTACTATACTGAAGTATACTACAGAAGGCCCCCAGCAGGCCACCCCACCCAGTCACGTTATACTGACATCGGGTGAACCTGTCGTTATAGTACTACACTGAAGTATACTACCGAAGGCCCCAAGCAGGACACCACACCCAGTTACGTTATTCTGACAACGGGTGAACCTGTCGTTATACTTCTACACTGAAGTATACTACCGAAGGCCCCCAGCCGGCCACCCCACCCAGTCACGTTATACTGACATCGAGTGAACCTGTAGTTATATTACTACACTGAAGTATACTACCGAAGGCCGCCAGCAGGACACCCCGCCTGGTCACATTTTACTGACAACGGGCATTCAGCCATAATTACCATTTCGGAAACTCTGATATGTCTCGGCAAGGGGAGAGAATCCATAGAAATAAACTCAAAAGTTAGGTAATGGAGACATTTAAAAAATCCTATCTGTTTAGAAAGGAGAGAATTGTTCTGGCTTAGATAAAGTGTACTTCTTTGTGACGTCCTGTAGCTAACAAGTGGTAATATACCTTTAGGTTCGTTTCATTTGGTACGCTATGAAACACATCGGATTATGTGACAGTCCATTGGCATTTTGGTGTCATAGTGTTATTGGATTTGGGGTGATTGTGTATAATTAATTTGTGTTAATTCCAATTCAATATTTAGATATAATATCACAATTTGTTTCAAACGACATTGACCTTACAAACAGAATTGATGTTCAAGTCTGGCGCATAGGAAGCCGGACTTCTTTTCACTTCCGGTAAAAATTAGTGAGAATCCGCTGATGTGTTTGTTCTTAAACTCTGCATTTTGTGAATTCATTTTATATAAAATTAAAACTCAAAATTTCATGTGAATTTATATTAACCATTGAAAATGTCTCAAAGAAATGTAATAAATTCATATAATGGTGGAACTATTTTCTGTTTACTTACTGTAGTTGAGAAACGTTTCCGCCAAAACTGTTTTGCTATTCCGTCAGTTATCGGCCTGCTGCCTCAGTGCGTATAACGGTCAATGAATAACGATGGTCACTTTTTCAAGTAGAGTAAATGAAGATGAAAATAACTATCTAAATGTAAAGATAAGACATTATTTCTCTTTGTTGGTGTTTACTGATGTATAATCTGCATTTTTCAAAGATAGTTCAACATTTTAAATGTCTGTGAGGGGCGATGACTTTATATTTTTAAAGACCCCACCTCCTTTTGCCAAAATCCAAATTCCACCACTGAACCTGGCCACATTACAATAGGAGACGTCATCTCTGGTCCTAATTTACGGCATAGTTTTTAATTTCCCGGGGCTATTATTTCATGGTTGTTCCGGGTCGGTCAAGTTTATGGTGATTTAAATTTCGCGCTTATGTAAACAGTGGTATAGAATTTCGAGCTTAAATCCCCCAGCCCGCAAATATAAAATGAGCAAAGATGTTTTTTTTTCAATATCACTGATGTGTCTGTTTTTGTTTTCACAGATATATCGGCGACATGGCGGCAAAAGAGTCATACTGCCTTGTATGTGTTCCAACATAACGCTGAGTTTATCTGTTAAGAAATAAATAAGAGGTCTACATACATTTGTGTTTTGTTGTAAAAAATAGGATTGATCTCGTAAAATAATTGTCCTATGCTTTTTGAATACAGATTGCCATTACCAGTTCTCAGTATAGTGTGAGTTAATTAGGGGACATGTTACCGTATCAAGGGTAACGATCTTAATTCGGCCTCAAAAGCGATAAAAGGCAAACTACGAAAGAAAGGAAGACATTGAAACATCACAATGATAATTAGACCAGGTGTTCCGGAAGAGTAAACGTTTTGTAAATATTGGTTAATTTTTTGTGTCACGTTCCGAAATTAGAAAAATGTCTAAAACAACGAAACATGCATATTAATGAGCATTCATATCACATGGAATATTTCTAGAGCATGTTGTCAGTCATAAAACTCATTGGTCTATATCCTTGTCGGTGTTATCATCCTGTGATTACACCTTCGTCATATGATCGAGGCTGTTGAGGTGGAACACAAAACGGCTAACAATTGTTTTTACAACTGTTCCACAACATTTTATATTTTTATGATTGGGGCACTGCTCTTAGTAAAACACCTTTCCTATGGAATCACAATCCGTATCTACTGGTAATTCTTATTTGGTCAATAATTTAATCACGTCAATGTCTCGATATCGATTTGATCTTTATCATGTTCCTGCATATTTGTTTTGAAAATTGCTATGCACGTGAGAGTATTTCATGTGTCTACAAAACGTTTTGACGGCTACAGACTGTCACAATCATCAGACGGATGACAAGTGAAGTGCTCTTGGCGAGTTTACGTTCTGTTATCCGACATATATATCGGCGATATTTGGACGTATAATTAAATTTATTTATCTTTACCTTGCGAGTGGACCGCTGCATCTTTTACAAAGCTGGCGAGGAAAATGTATTTTCAAAGGACAACACAACAAAAGCTCTGGTCACATTTTTATCTCAACTTTGTGAGGTTAGGGATCGATTCCCATACATCAGATCTTCCTCTGTGTCTGACGCCTGACCTGCTGAAATATCGCAGCCCCTGATTTAATGCGTAGTCATAGGACTTTGTGATTGCACACTGCATAGAATAGCGAATAAATAAATAAATAAATAAATAAGTAAATAAATAAAAATTATCATATTGACACATTTTCATTACCTTGGGGTCATTTGTAATTCTGATTAATGAAATATTTGAAAAAATAAATGGAATTGATAAGCTATATCAAAGCGATATGTCTAATGAAATCGTACGTAACCTGAGGACACTACAAGGGTTTCAGTTACAGTTTTGTTTTAATGAAATAACAAAACACTCTTTTAAAATCAATACAGTATTCATTCATTCATTTTATTGACTTTTGGCCTTCCGGCCCATCAGTACAATGTATATACATACAAATCATGAATATTGGCACGACACACAGTGCTAAAGTGGAGAGAGTAGTATATTATTAGTATGAAAGAAGAAGACATCAATTTCTTAACTTGTTAGCTTCAACAATGTATTTACCAAGCTGACAAAGTTCTTTTGTATTCCTAGTACTTAATAATTGTAAAAACTTAAACATTGATGGTCTCTTCCAATAATATTTCTTTATATATAGTGTTCTTAAATTTTGATATGACTGTAAAAACTGGTGAACCAAGTCAATGTTAAATGCAATTTAGTCAAAATCTAGATTAGTATATCTTTGGACGAGTCAGTAAAACAGGAAAAACAGAAATAGCATATTTTATATGGTGTTGTACTGAATTTAAATAGATATATACTAATTTTAGCCAATCAAATATGTTTTAAGCATTAAGCTCCTCTAACAAATACAAACAGGACATCCGGTCGTGACGTCAATAGAGACTCCTTTGTTACAAGGCGCTACACACCGAGTAGGTTGGCACGTGGCTCGGTGAACCATGGCAACAGTCGTCGTCATCACTGTAAAAGACAATAATGGCATACTATTCACGATGACTGATTTCTTTAGAAGTACAACTCATGTAAGAATGCGGGATGCTTTGCCTTTGGAACAAAGATGATTGTTTCCTTGGAGACGTTCTTCAGTTAAAAGAATCCCAACATTTCATTTAATCTTTGCCATTGTGACAGATTATAATTTGCAATATTTCAACTTAAAATCAATAAAATGAATCCTGTACGATGTAAAAAAATTCAAATCTAAAACTTTTACCGGTTTTGTAATTTACAAACTCACCTTTATCACTCTGTGTAGATTAGATCAAGAAGAAATCATTATACATTACAAATATACTGAACACGAAACTTAATCGTTAGCGACGAAACTTAATATATCATTACGAACGGAATTAGTATAACAGGACGTAACGATCCAACCAATTACTTTCAAGTTGGATATAAACCATTAAGAAATGAATCCGACTTTATTTAGCACCTATATTCATCGATCTGCCTTCTACTCCATACAAATCTGGTACGTCATCTCTAATTCTATTGGTAGTTGTTGTTAACCACTAAGCCACTCTAGCTTCTTTTATCTTACTACCCTGCGTCATTTCCATAAAATTTACATATTCTTTTTTTCTTTCTTTTGTTTTTATCTAAAACTGTCTAGGGTTTAATATCTGAACAGTGTCAATAATCAATATCATACAGACGAGGTAGTAAACACATTGAGGTATAAAAAAACATACCAAGTGTCAACACTCATTGTAACATACACTACAGTGTCAACACTCAATGAAACAGATACTACAGTGTCAACACTCAATGTAAGATACACTACAGTGTCAACACTCATTGTAACATACACTACAGTGTCAACACTCAATGTAACATACACTACAGTGTCAACACTCAATGTAACATACACTACAGTGTTAACACTCATTGAAAGACACACTACAGTGTCAACACTCAATGAAACAGATACTACAGTGTCAACACTCAATGTAAGTCATACTACAGTGTCAACACTCAATGTAACATGCGCTACAGTGTCAACACTCAATGAAAGATACACAACAGTGTCAACACTCAATGAAAGATACACAACAGTGTCAACACTCAATGTAAGTCATACTACAGTGTCAACACTCAATGTAAGTCATACTACAGTGTCAACACTCAATGAGACACACTACAGTGTCAACATTCAATGAAAGACATACTACAGTGTCAACACTCAATGTAAGTCATACTACAGTGTCAACACTCAATGAGACACACTACAGTGTCAACATTCAATGAAAGACATACTACAGTGTCAACACTCAATGTAAGTCATACTACAGTGTCAACACTCAATGTAAGTCATACTACAGTGTCAACACTCAATGAGACACACTACAGTGTCAACATTCAATGAAAGACATACTACAGTGTCAACACTCAATGTAAGTCATACTACAGTGTCAACACTCAATGAAAGACATACTGCAGTGTCAACACTCAATGAAAGATACACTACAGTGTCAACACTCAATGTAACATACACTACAGTGTCAACACTCAATGTAAGTCATACTACAGTGTCAACACTCAATGAGACACACTACAGTGTCAACACTCAATGAAAGACATACTACAGTGTCAACACTCGATGAAAGATACACTACAGTGCCAACACTCAATGTAACATACACTACAGTGTCAACAGTCAATGAAAGACCCTAACACCAGTGAGTAGATAAGACAGGAAGTGTCCCTGATACCAGTTTGGAGATTAGACCGGAAGTGTCCCTGACACCAGTATGGAGATTAGACAGGAAGTGTCCCTTACACCGGTGAGGAAATTAGACCGGCAGTGTCCCTGACATAAGTATGGAGATTAAACAGGAAGTGTCCCTAACTCCCGTGAGGAGGTTAGACAGGAAGTGTCCTTAACACTGATTTGGAGATTAGACAGACAGTGTCACAGACAATAGTGAGATTAGACAGGAAGTGTCCCTAACACTATGGTAGGAAATCAGACATGCAGTGCCCCTGGCAGCAAATAAAGATTAGAAAGGAAGTGTATATTATAAGACACTGACTTTGTATTCTGTCTACTCTGCGACAGTGATTTATCAACAGACTAACATAGTTTCATCAATTTAATTTTTGTACACCTGACGTTGACGCTACGCTTAAATATGGTTCCACACTTCAACAGATATCACAGTAATTTGATGTGTTTTGGTAAATACTTTGTTCATTAAAACATATGGAATATCTTATTTAAACAGTTATATTTAATCGTAATATTTGAGCTCAGAAAGTAATTGTGTCGAATAAGGGTACGGTCTAGATACAAATATTTTCGTCACTGTCTAATATAGCAAAAGTATGTGTGTCAAGTGTACTCTGAAAATGCCAGCGTCAGTTACAGAATAAAACAACGTGGGTGATTCAATTGTAGATAACTTCTGTAGACGTTACAGGTCCAGAGATTTGACTTCCGGTTTCGGTTATACGACCTTAATCACATAGGAGTAACTGCAGACACCCGAGTAAATCTAATTATAGATGTAAAACTGACCGTTGCATTCCGGACAGCCATTGACCATCATGGCGCTTCCTCTGGGACAGTTGACAGGAAATGGTGGACATGTCGAAGGAGCTGAATAGAAAAATGATCGAAATTATAAATAATTTAAATTCAAATTAAATTATTATTAAGGTTAGTATTTGTTAACTAAATTCATCTACTGACATTTCACATACTTGACCATACATGCACACCGCCTTATAACAAAACGTCAGGAGAAAATTCATTATCAGTTAAAATTAGAACAGATTATCACCATGTCTATTTCTATAATCGTTGACACAGATTTGTATCAATAAAATACCATAACAGATATACCTAGATGTCAACAAAGTCGAGATTCAAATTCAAAATCGATGAAACACGAAACGAGGACAAGTTCAGAAGAAAACATTTACAGGGAGACTCCTGAAAATGAGTAGTGAAATAAAGGCGGGTATTAGGGACGAGTATTTTACCTCATCCTGTATCTAATATCTTTGGTATCTTTCACTCCTGCTGTGAACTTGTGAAAGATACTAAATTATCAGACACACTTGTGAAATATATTTGTTATTACTGAAGACACTATTAAAGATCCTCTTTATAATTACAGGCAAATCATCGTATAAAGTTTATAATGCTGAAAGAGATTGTGTAAAATACACACACATCGACAACTCCTGTCAACACCGAACTACATACAGGGGAACTGAATCATACGGCTGTTTCGTCCTTTATAACTCGTCAGTGATGCTATGGGCCTATTTTTACAACCTAGAATGACAATGATTTAAATTTAAATGCCACAAACCAGATTTTAAAGTATGCTAACTTTAATATTCAATAAATTTCCTGTAACTTTAAATAGTTGTTGACTTCAAAATAATATCATGTATACATGTATATATTATATTGTGCAGCTATTCCATTGAAAATAAGTGAAATGACGACTGGACTAAAATTCACGATGTTTGATTGACACCTGGTAAACTGAAATGTAAATCTGTCAGCCATTATAGAAACATAACCTGAGAGTAAAAATTACTGGGAATAAATCCAATGTAATATTTTTCTTAGGATCATCGATCGATTTATTTTTTCAAAATGCTAAAAAAGTTTACTTGGTGTAAGATTTTCGTCAACATCAATCTAATTATGAATTACTAATTATGTTGTTTACCTAAATAATACAATTGTCTTGCTCTTTTAGAAATTTTAGGTATTGATATGAATCGAACGTGTTTAAATCTAGGAGAGTTACAATCATCAAAATAGGACGGAACGAAGTATTGATGAGAAAACATCCAAGAAAATACCGACATATTAACATAATCTTAATTCAAACAATATTACGATAGCAACTAGGGCAAAGTAAAAGAGAAAATTAGGCGGAGACTCCTATAAAAGAAGAAGGAGAATAAGACAAGATGTTCCTGAAGAGTAAGCGCCTTCTGCTTCATCAAGAACACGCTTAGCCAATCCAAGTAAATAATGGACATTCCTAAATAATACAATGTAAACGGCAACAAAACCAGGTATACTAACAAGCAGCAAACACTTCATATATAATTCCATTTTGCACATTTTAAGCACGACTTCAGGATACTGTCAAGTACATGTGAATATCCTGAACTGTACCACTGTTCAAACGAGGCAAAATGTAACATGCAGGAAACGGAACCTGGAAGACAAAGATTATACGAGAAAGACACATTTAGAATATGATTGAGCACAACATAAATTAAACTGCATCATTTAGCTGTTTTGTCCTTCAATGATTGTATGGTCCCGAGGAGGCGACACAGAGAAATCCAAAATGGCCGAATGAAAGTAAAATTGTGATGAGAAAGTGCATCAGCCCCATTTAATAAATATCCAGAATACGATCACACAAAGCAGTGTTGGTTAGTAATTAGAACTGACAAATACTGATGGACAATATAAATTAAATTTACTGATTTCTGATCGAAGCGTTATGGGTGTTTGATGCTCTTTAGTATACCTTGTCGTTTCATTACTGTTAAACATACTCTTGTTTCCGAAAGTTACATAATTGATTTGAATACTGTCTAAGGTTCTATTTCTGTTTGTTTTTGGTTTTTTTTTGTTTTATTCTTTAAACCTTACCAAGACAGAAGATGTAGTCGTTGTCTAAGTCACGTGCTATCAAAGTTTGTAAAAACATTACTTAATATCGACCAGACAGAAAAAATAGATCGTCGCGTCTTTCTTGAACTGTTATGTTTACAGACAAACAGGTACACAACAGAAAGATGCCAGACACATAGGTACACAACAGAAAGACACCAGACAAAAGGTTTCAAAACAGAAAGACGCTAGACACATATATACACCACAGAAAGATACCAGACACACAAGTACAGAACAGAAAGACACCAGACAAAAGGTTTCAAAACAGAAAGACGCTAGACACATATATACACCACAGAAAGATACCAGACACACAAGTACACCATAGAAAGATACTAGACACACAAGTACAGAACAGGAAAATGACAGACACACAAGAACACAACAGAAAGACACCAGACACACAAGATTACAACAGAAAAACACCAGACACACAGGTACACAACAGAAAGACACCAGACACACAGGTACACAACATAAAGTCACCATACACAGGTACACAACAGGAAGACGCCAGACACACAGGTACACAACAGAAAGACACCAGACACACATGTACATAACATAAAGACACCAGCCACACATGTACACAACAGAAAGACACCAGACACACAGGTATACAACAGAAACACACCAGACACACAGGTACAAAACCAAACAAATACCAGACACATAGTTACACAACAGAAACACACCAGACATACATGTACACAACAGAAAGACACAAGACACAGGTTCACAACCAAACAAATACCAGACATATATATACACAATAGAAAAAACACCAGACACACAGGTACACAACAGAAAGACACCAGACACACAGGAACACAACAGAAAGACACCAGACACACAGGTACACAACAGAAAGACACCAGGCACACAGGTACACAACAGAAAGACACCAGACACACAGGTACAAAACAGAAAGACACCAGACACACAACTGCACAACAGAAAGACACCAGACATTTACGTAAGCAACATAAATATATCAGACACTTACGAAAGCAACATAAATATATCAGACACTTACGTAACAGAAACAGAAAGACGTCTTAAATCTATAAATAACCTGTACTAACAAAGAGTTTCAATAGAAAGATCAACCTATTGAGACATTCTCAGGAGTTGTGGAGGTATGTTGTCACAAGTGTATAGAGTACAATAGAGTAGCCAGATATTGATTTTGTCATATTCAATACCATATAACATTGAACAAAAGACACATCAGCGAAGAGCAATCTTCAATAAATAACGACATACAAAACCCACACATATTTCAAAAGCAATTTTACAAACGTAAAACACATGTGTGCAATTGTAACCATTCAGGTGAATTAAATCAAAACACTGCAAGTAATTGTACCCACCACAAAGGTTAAAGGTCATGGTCTGTTACGTAATAAACACCGGGGGAACACATGCATGATTGAACAAGTATACACACATATATATGTAGAATTAATGTTTATTACTGGGAAACATGAATTTGTTTTAGCTCGTTCTCAAAAATGTATAACTTTAAGAGGTTAACTGGCAAATTTTGTAGTACGCAATATCTACCAATCACTTCATCGAATGCACTTTTAGAAAGTAATAAAACAAACTTAAATATAGAACAATGTAAACATGTTATACTGTTTATGATCTGAAAAAGATATTGTTTGAAATTGGACAAAATAGATTGCGTCAGATAGACACCTAACACAATAAAAACTGGTATGGCAAGTTGCCCAGATCCATGTAATCACATAGCTTCGGTATACGTGTAGATAAATCACGTGTGCACCTCGTTCAGGTCTGATTCTTAGGTATACAATGTTAAATACTACAAGGAGGCGATGACACCAGGCTGCGTGCCATAGTAGTTTATTAAGGAAGAAGGAAGACAGGATTCCGTACTCCAAATTAGTATTGAAAGGTACTATTGGCTTGTGTGTATTTTATACAATCATTGACATTTCGGCGTTGAAAGGTAATATTCACGTGTGTGTATTTTATACAATAACTGACATTGAAGTTAATATGTCTCCCCCAAAATCAGTAGTACTCGTCTTAATAATATCAGGTGTGACGTTTGTCAGGACATGATAACACGCCAGGTCACAGGTGTAGTCTATTACTGGACATTACTCTATAGGGAGACAGGTATTTGTCTTATTTCATCGATCGGCTTCCGGTTCTACTTAACCTTGCTGACACCTGGTGGAAAACATATAGGTATCTTACCCGTTATACCCATGTACATTACAAACCTGTCTGTCACTACAATATCTTATGCATAGGATTGTTACCAAACAATTGCTTGAATTTGTTCAGGAAATCTGTATGGATACGCGAGGACTAGAGAATATTCAACACGATGAGAACGATATTAAAACCGAGTACCCGAAATACAAGGTATGTTTATACTATTAAAGATCCGTGGTCCAATTCCCCATAAACACATTGAGGGTTCTAATATATAGACAATATTAGCATAAATATGTAAATGTTTTTTCATGAAACAAAACTTAATGAATATTAATTTGATATATCATTACCAGCTTGGGTTGGTATATATTTTTTGATGGTAATATTTTGATATATGTACCAGTTCTAAGTAGCGGAGTTGCAGTCCTTTAGTGTATATATATGCTGAACGTCAATGTGTTGGTGTAGGATTGAAAGATTTTAAAATGATAACCAGTTTTGTCTGCATTACATATTGACACAATACAATGTTTGCTATAATATTATATTTCTGTTTGCATTAATTGAGCATGAAACTCGTAAATTACTGTCAAGTTCAGTCGAATCTCGTTATCTCGAACGCGTATAATTCAAAGACCCCGTCTAATTCGAATTATCCGGTCGGGCCTGGACAAGTTATGATGTACGTTGTCGTAGTTAAGTCAGGCTTCGATCAACGATAAAATTAAGATATAACGATATATTACAAATAATGAATGTACGCCTCCGTCTTTCGTTAATAATATGTAGTCTGTTGTACGTTTTTATTCAAAGGGAAAAAATGGACGGCTGACAGCATACATACATACGGTTACAACAGAAAAGGAAAATATGAATTTTATTGAATGAATGCCGGGAAAAAACAACAAGAAAATACCAACATGTCAATATAATCATAATCAATACTCAAGTTCAATAAAACTAGGACAAAATATAATATGAACAAACGAAAAATTTACACGAGAGTCCTGAATAGGTACAATGAGTATAAGACCAGGTGTTCCGAAAGAGTAAGCCTCGTCGATCACACCCGCGATTCCCCAAAAATGCTTCTCATATATATTTTATCATTGATGTCGGTATTTTAAATTTTCGGCCCTCTATCTGTTGCTAGGACTTTAATACCCGTGAAGCTAAATATTTGTATAAATGTTCTTTTGGTTTAACTAGGAGTTCCTGAATATCTATTTTCTATCCATTATATCCTAATTGGCTTTGCCTCAAGGTTTTGTCGTCTTGTCAGTATTTATTTGTAGTTTCATGTCCTGCTCTTTATTTGAAACTGCTATGGCTCTGTTCATTTGCATATAATGTTTAACATTTTAAATGTTATTTTCAGTATCTCGCACAGCCTTCTGTCCTGTCGTCTTTTCAACATACGACCATTGGCACAATATTTATGATAAAACCAAAGAATAATGGCGGTTCTATCGTAAACTGTTTCCGTCATAAGGAAGTGTGTCACGTAGATAGATCTGGAGAGGTAGAGAAAAAAGAACATTTAGGGTTTACAACGCTCGGATGTACTTCCCTAGCAACAGGCGAAAAACTACTGACCAATGTCCACGATAAGTGTATCATGCGCCTGACAGAGTCAGGTGACACGGAAGTGGCATTTAGTACAACACCGCTTATACCCATACAAATATGTAATACGGAAGGTAAGTTTTTCTCATTTCCGACATGCTGTGCTTATGAGTACGGGGATGAAGATTGTACACAAGACACAGAAATAAACAACACATTTAAATACAAATTTAGAAGTAAGTAACAGGAGAGCCATTTATTGAATTAATTAATATAGCCGGTTCATCCTTCTATGACTCATCAGTGATGCTAAGGGCCTAAATTTTTGAAGCCTATGAGGCTACTGAGGGAAATCAGTAGGGATCGGAAGACGTGTCCAAATTTAAATGGCGAGGCGCAATCATAGAAAAATTCTACTCAAAATTAATTTTCACCGATCCCTGTAGGGTCGTTCCACTCAGTATCTCTTACAATGTATACTTTTGATTTCAGTAATAATTACACAACTCTGACAGTACAGTAAACAGCTATAAAACATACGTGTAGTTTGTAGTTTACAATACATTGCGACATTGGGGGTTATATCATTAGATGTCTTACTGATGCATTAGACTGAAAAAGAAACTAACTTATTTTAACTACTGTAAACTTTTCTTGATCTTTCGAAGATGAATGCAAAGAATATAATATAAACTGAATATGTTATTTGTAGAAGGTACTTTACTGGTAACACTGTCGGATAACTCGGAGTACAATATCAGTGACGACAACACCAGAGTTGTGACGAAGTACACAGGCAAAGGCCAGCGTATTCTAACTGCCGAAAGAGACAACCAAGGTCAACGATTATTTTGCAGGCCTGGTAGAATCAAATGTAACAAGCAAAACGGACAAATAATTGTTGGAAATAGAACTGGTGAAACCTGCGCACACATTGTCGTATTCGATAATGACTTAAGGTTGTTGTTTCGTTACCTAGGAAACGGAAGGTCACTTACTTCAGACGACGATTTCAACGAAGGCCTTATCAATACCGACTTTTTCGCCGTAGATGCTGATTTCGATATATTAAACAATATCGTCATTGCAGATCATAAAACAAAGTCTGTGGAACTGCTCGATTGTTATGGACAGCTACTGAAAATCGTAATGCAAGCTTCTGACGCACCTCGATCATTGTGTGTCCACTTCGATCAGACGCTTTGGATAGGCTTTACAAATGGACAAATTAAAGTCATTAAATATGTGAGTTTTATTTCTGATTAACAGCAAAAATTAGTATCAAGATGCTTAAACTATTGACTGAAAGCAATAGTGGCTCCGTTATGTCACCCGTTACGTCATAGTTACGTCATAGTTACGTTTAATGGATGAATTGATGATAGAATTTACATCTCTTAAACTTTACTCTTTGTTCTTAAAATTTAGAGGTAATGTGTTGCGAATATTCACGACATGTTTTCTGCTTTTAGATGGAAGAATATCACGATTCCGAAGAACTCAACAAACGATGAAAAAAACCGACAAGACATCCTGCTTACAATTTGCCTGTACGAATATGAAGCTTAACATAAAAAAATCACGCCTCATTATTGACTTGGGTAGATATGCAAATTTTAAATGATCCCTGGAGACATGGAACCCAAATATTATCATACGTTTACTTTTGATGATAGGTTAAACCCATTTTCTTTACAAATAGAATAACTTGTATGTAATAGAAATAAAGCACACTGATACATCGTTTACAGGGTCATTTTCATTCTCGTTTATTTGATTAGGAAGGTGGTAATGATACCGAATTCAATATATCTTATACACATGTTTTTATCTTTACCTATTACTTCTCCTATTTGTGTCAGTTTCACAGCGCAGTTATCCTAGGTACTAATGATCTCTGTGTGTGCTGGAACCCGTATACCACGTTGAATTGGTTTGAATAGTGATACAGTTTAGACTTAAATTTTTTTTTTTTGAAACGGTACAACAATGAATTAATCATTGTACATAAATACACAGATTAAGCGATAAATAAAGTAGATAAATCGAGATAAATAGATAAAGTAGATAAATCGAGATAAATAGATAAAGTAGATAAATCGAGATAAATAGATAAAGTAGATAAATCGAGATAAATAGATAAAGTAGATAAATCGAGATAAATAAATAAAGTAGGTAAATCGAGATAAATAGATAAAGTAGATAAATCGAGATAAATTGACCCTATTTTGTAACGCATTTTATATACAGTGTAAATAGGTAACAATAATGGAACTCAGCACATATTTCATAGTCTTATAACTGTTGTAAATGTCTGATTTATCACAGATTAGGATACGTTATCTCTTAGTGCAAATCTCAATTATTTTTCGTTGCTAGGTGTAGCATCGAATACCTTGGGCCACTGACGTCACAGTTGCTGTATGACGTCAATAACTGTAATCTCGAGAGATTAGCGATATCTGGTTACTAAGATATCTGTTTGTCAACACAAATATGTCAATTCCACTGAAATGTCTTCTATTTGTAATGCCTTACATACCAATAGACCAATATACTCAGTGATTTAAATACAGTACACCCATCCACATGTTTTGCATTTCTTATCGAGTATAATTTTAACAGCATGGTTTCAGTGATCTGTAGATGCTAATATTTAGAACCCCTGTTGTGAATTAGAACTGATAAAACTTGACCGAGAGATATAATATATCACTGAATTTAAATTTTCTGTGCTTATCCGGATTAAGCATATTTAGAATTGTCCATATATAATTTTTAAAGGGGCACGTGCCTCTCTCAGCCTGTTAAGGGTATCACAAACACGAACTTAAGTTTTATATACGGTTTGGGAATATTTTGGTACATATTTTTTTACAAACATATCTGTTAATTTTGATTGTATGCTTTACACTAATAGAAAGTACAAAAGACACACAAGTGAATTGGACAAATATAGATATAAACACACAGTAGAGTCAAATAATGAGTTAAATTGCATTGTACAACTGTTTCGTCCTTAGAAGATTCATCAGTAATGCTAAGGGCATATAAAAAATGTGAATATATTCAGATATTTATGTTTGCTGTACAGTGTCCGATACATCATTGTTAAAATTGATTGTATTGATAGGAGCGTAAAAACTTTCCACATCACAAGATGATGTAATTTTTGAGTCAATTCGACCGATCCGAAACGCCATGTTGCATCAAGCCATAATTTATCATAATTTAACAGACACACAAGTCATACTTTATCACTGTCAGTATTAGTAAACAGATTCACAAGCCATACATTATCACTGTCAGTATTAGTAAACAGATTCACAAGCCATACTTTATCACTGTCAGTATTAGTAAACAGATACACAAGTCATACTTTACCACTGTCAGTATTAGTAAACAGACACACAAGCCATACTTTATCACTGTCAGTATTAGTAAACAGACACACAAGCCATACTTTATCACTGTCAGTATTAGTAAACAGACACACAAGTCATACTTTACCACTGTCAGTATTAGTAAACAGATACACAAGCCATACTTTATCACTGTCAGTATTAGTAAACAGATACACAAGCCATACTTTATCACTGTCAGTATTAGTAAACAGATACACAAGCCATACTTTATCACTGTCAGTATTAGTAAACAGATACACAAGCCATACTTTTTCACTGTCAGTATTAGTATACAGATACACAAGCCATACTTTACAACTGTCAGTATTAGTAAACAGATACACAAGTCATACTTTACCACTGCCAGTGTTGGTTCCTGCTCCTCCGCCATTTTGATGAACAGACCCATTATTAGGGTTGTTACCACCAGTGGTTGTCCCTACAATTTGTCCAGTACCATTTCCTGTTTGATTTCCATTCACCGAGTTACTTCCTCCCGCCAATTGTCCAGGACCTGTGCTAACACTATTTCCGGTATTCGATGAACTTCCGGATCCTCCGTTGGCATTTACACCAGATGAAGAAGATGCTAAAAATAGTCATGATTTTGTTTTTAAAAAATCCCTACTATATCAATGTTTACTGCTTTCAAAAAGTATAAAAAAAATATTATTATTAAGGATAAGTGGTGTATGTTGAAATACAATTACATGAAGAAAGTACGGCCAATTATAATGGGAAAAATAACCTAAAATAAAATGAAAAGGTATTTGGATAACTTGGCCACTGTAGTGTCATCACACTGGAATGACACGAAATTTAAACGCGTGCATGACCCCTATACAGAAGTAAAATAAACAATGTGAATACTAACAGCATCCATTGATACAGATGATACATCCCGTTACACTATCGATATCCTGGCAATCAAAGGAACAGCCGATCCACGGACATTTTCCCGGAAGATGATCGGTTCCGTGACCAGTAGAAGAACTCTGGGAAGCGAAAGCTGTGAAAATTAGAAGGAAATGTAGTTACTGTCTTTAAATCTGATAATATTATAACATTGATACAAAACTGAACGAAAATCTGTTCGGGACATCTTATAGAACATGCGTTTTTGAAACCCATGTCTGGGTTTGTGTCTGCTGGTGACCAGGTGTTTAAATGCAACTTCTGGACCGATTCTTGTCCTGTAATCATATAGTGTGGTAATCAATTTTGAACTTTGTTAACTATGATATTTTTTACATGCTTCAGTCCTTCATTGTCTAATACCGTTCATTTATTTCAGTTACTGTCAGATTGATGTGTAAATCTGTTGTAGAAAAGTCAGGTTTATTATTAATTTACGTGCAACCCAATTTCTGTCAATTGAAATTTCTCTAAAATTAATATTTTGAGATGAAAAAGCAAGTTGTCAAATTTACAGTGTTTAATATGGCAAATCACCGACCATTCAAGGGCCTGTTCCAAAAAACATGATTTTCGTGTAAGACGTCAACTGATGGACAAACCCGAAACAAAGGCATTCAACATATGTAGGTTGATGAAAACTATGAAAAAGTTAAAGTGATCTCGTTGCAAAATATTCTAATGTTTTGTGCGATTTGAAACTGGACATATTTGATGTTGATTTGTTTGTGTACCTTGTATTTGCTTGGATTGACCAAGATTTACATCACGGTTATCGTCAGTGAAACAACAAGATGCTTACTCTTCCGCAACACCTGGTCTTATTTTCCTTGTCTTTTTTCATATGTAAATATGTCTTTTGCTCGTGTTTTGTCCTAGTTCTACACAGATTGAGTTTTGTTTATGATTACGTTGACATTTTCCTGTTGTTTGCATACATACCTGGCCCACTGTTTCCGGCATGTTGAACATAACCAGCATTTCCACCTGACATAGCATGATAATAGCTGTGCGTATTATCAAGGTAATGTGTTGCGTCGCCCGGTATACTATTGATGTTTTGTGAACCGGAAGTGCCACTATTTCCGGTATTTCCAACATTGCTACTTCCACCTGTATTTCCGGAAAACTCGTTCGTCATATCACCGGGATTGTTGTATTGGTGTCCAAATAACATCAGAAAGCGTTTTTCCAGGGGAAGGGCTGCAATCGTGAATGTGAAAATCTAAGACACGGTAGCCTTCTAAGATGATAGTGACGATATAACCATTTAATATCATAATATTGCGTCCAAACCTCGTAGAGGAGATATTTATAATGTTCAGATATTTTCATGTTAAGCTCGTATCATTACATCTAGAGCCAAACTAAAGCATATTCTTATTGAAAGATCAGGCGATTAGCTGAACGACAAAAAGGAACAACGGAACAAAAGGAAAAAAAGAAATAAACGAATCGATTAAGTGAATTAGATATCAGATCTCGTTTAATAAAACACTTAAATGCAGTTAAAATTTATCACGAGAGTAGCAGGAATTCTGTCAAAAAAGCAAAACGATAGATAGAACGAATGACAAACAGGGGAGGAGTAGACTGTTAATTACTGTAAAGATTTCGGCAACTTATTTATCGTTTATGTGAGGAAGTCAGACATAACAAACATGGGAGCGTGTCATGTAAGTTAGTAGGGGTTGTGTTTACACACACCTTATCAGCTGGTGTACAGGTTAAGCTTCCTATATATATAAGACCAATGAAGTAATAACGACAGTACGGATAAGGCAAATTGGCAAATTTTCGAGGCAACCTACCTCTTTATCAAGACACAAATCTTACATAAATTACATCACATACATAGAACGCAAAACAAATACAAAATTATAAATCTAAATTGTAAATTGAGGTGTCCCGATAATCCTTTCGGCCAATGGACGCCGAAGTCCCTTATAACGGATGAAAAACCATCCTATGTTGGTGGATGTAAGATGGTGATCAAAACATCAAACATTTTTTTATATTAAACTGGGTATATTTTGCACTCAAGACACTGTACGTATATGTGATCGCAACGAAAACAATTGCATGTCACACTCCTGGGAAAGTAGTCTACCGGTACATCTCGGCCACATTCTAAATGAGGAATCGTTTAATTAGAAATAAAAAAATGTGTGTAATAACAATAAAAAAAATTGATAAAAATCACAAGTTAAATGTACAAAAATTTATGTATATAAAAACATGTTATTTTGAATATGGGTTTAATAGACCCCAGATTCGTCAGCTCGCCCAAAGAAAAAGCCCCCCCCCCCCATAAAATCAAAATTTCTACTTCCGGTCTAGAGTTAATAAACAGCGCCAATCTCAAACAGGAAGGAAAGCAGAAATAGCAACTACACAAAAAGTACAAGAAATGTAGCAAGTAAGTTTACTGTTAAAAAAATAGATTTTAGAAATTGAGGGGCAGATAGGTTGGTAATATAATACTAGTTCACTTCAGTTGTGGCTTGAGATGTACCGGAGCCAGGTAAAGAAATTTTTGGTAGCTTACCACTCACCCCCAGGTTTATATGTCTATATACAGCTTATCAGAACGGACGAACTTCCAATGAAGCTTTCGGTACATGACCTATGCATTTCTGTTTTTAAACACGATATTGTATACACGGACATTTAAAAAAATCACTTTCAGACACTTCTTATGATAAAGTATGAAAATTTTAATTTATTTTTCCTTATTAGTTAAATTTCAATCATGTAAAACATGGTAAGAATATGACAAATTATTCTATATTTCGTTACTCCGTTAAATTACTCTAGTTCGCTATACACACGAAGTATAGATGTAAAGAAGATATGTAATGTTTTGCGTTGTTGTCTTTTTTGCGAAATCGTAAAAGAAAATTTATAATTTTAGAAGTTCTTGTAAAAGCAGCCAATATGTAATGACATATAACTTAGATAACGATCCTGTTTAACTCTCTTGGTTTTATTGTCCCAGTTCCAACTAATTATATCAATAGATTTAACTGTTAGATTCTGTTCACCAGGGAGTCTTCGAATTAATTTTTTAAATGTCACGATGACTTTTTGAAATATTTCTTAAATATTTATACCTGTAACAAGTAAACAATGATTCCGTTTTTATCTCTGCTGTATCATATTTAACTACATCGTATGTCTATATTATTTATTTGTATATTTAAACATGCGTCACGTGACAGTAAAGTATGTTTACAAAGTAGACAGGGAATTACTTACCTTCAGATAAAAAGCATATAGCTGTAATAGTAAAAAATTCACGCCACATTCTTCACGTTAGACATAAAGTTGGCGAAAGTTTATAAGAGATCAAGGTTACTAGGAAAAGGTGTTATATAAGTAAACTTTATCTATGTCATTAGGTCTTATCTAGACGTGAGGAGGGGTGAACGTAACAACATAGAATATCACAATACTACTGTTGTGTATATCACAAAGGCTCACAGTGTATTGTACATATCAATACAGACTAAGATACAGTATAGCCAGATTAAACGGTATCACACAACAACAGTAAAAACCATCAGTGTATGGGTAAAACAACGTATTTAACACACATTGGAAATGAAAAGTTTGTAAATCCATAACCTTTTCATTTAAACATTTCTTTGAAGAATTTGACAGAATAGCCTCTATATCAACTATAATTATATTCAGAAAAAATATTTCATTATTTTTATCATAATTATCGACATTTTGTCAGTACCACTTAGGGGTCCAACCCTCATCTTATACAATGGAGTAAATACATTATTTGGAACAGCCGAATCCTCGAGCTAGTTTGTGAGCATTGTGACGTCACGATGCATCGGACACCATTAAACGTCTGGAATTGGAATTGCACAGTGGGTGTAATATGTAAATATTGTAAAATGTCAAATTATTGATTAACACTTATTTCTAACTATAACGTGTTCTCTTTCTATCATATTTCCTGCAGGTAGAGCGTAATACGCCCTCTGTCCAGTTTGGCTATAAAGGCGGCTCTGTTCTTTCTTCCATAACGGCATCTCATCTCTGAAATGTCTTCCTTGACAAAACGTCTTTTAGGGATTATTGTTGAGCATCCGTCCAAACAACGAAGGTTACCACTTCTGTTTATTCGACGTGCAGCCGGTTATTTTCGCGGGGATGATATTTTAGCTATTTCGCGGTACATTTACGTGATCGAAAAAAACCCCGTTAAATAATGAGACAAGTGCTGTTTTTTTCAGGTTGAGAAATTTTTTGATTCGTCGAAATATAAATCGAGCGTTTTAAAAGCCAAAAATCAGCCATACATTACATCTTCATTGCTTTCCGGTCATACTATTGGATGTTGATTGTCAATATGGTGAGACACGGAGAGGGAGGCTTGGAAATTGGTTGGTAGGGATCGTGTCGCTATGTACAGGTAAGGACATTTTACAGTGATATATATATATTTATAAAGGTTTTGTCGGCGACTCGTTCGTTAGTCCGGCGGACGGGACTTTAAACGGTGGCCTGTGAAGCATCCCCCTCACGTCGCTTGAGAATCGACTTACGTCGATTGGACAATGCCCGGCGACGGGCAGGGTCACGGGGACGATAAACCATCATCATCTGACCCCGTTGTCAGTTGACGCTGTCTTTAAACGGTAATAATTATAATGGATACTGAGAGAAAATTAATGTCAAAGGAGTGAATATTTCTATCTAGATTTAAGCAGAAGTTTAACACGAATAAAGTTGCCATGTATACGTAAATGGTTTTAGCGAAATATTTTTCAAATACTGAAATATTAAAAATTCTTAAAATTAGAAATCAAATATTTTCTCTATTCAAATAACAGATTAGAATTTAAAATGATATAGTAGAAACAATATGGTGACATATGTGTTTTATTTGTTCCCGTGGTGTACGTATATCTACCATTGAAATAAAAGTCATTTCATCAAATTTTATCGCATAAACTCTGAAACGATGGACTTCTTTAAACATAGGACCTTTATATTTACTCTCTCTTCTTAAGATCTTTCTTGTATCTTATGTCTCCCTGACACTGCCTCGCTTTTGACCTTTTGTTGAGCGTTTGACCTTTTGAGGAAGTCTTTGAATTCTGTATTTAAAATGGAAGTATCTACATCTTGTTTAATGTTCATTGACAGAGTAACAATTCACCGTTGTCTGTATAGTGTGGCTAATTGGGATGTCTCGCTGTATGTTATTACTTACCATTTAAGTTACAAGTCATAGCTTTAATATTTGAAGTTCGACACAAATAAAAACTGTCTAGATTCAAAGAAATATACCTGTCAAAGGCTACAAATGGCATCAAGTGAAACTAACAACCCACTTTGGAAAAAGGTCCGACATTTTATACCCGTCTAAATACGTCCAACATACACTGAAATGAAATGTCACCGGGTGGTCGGGTGGCGCAGTGGTATCGCACTCGCCTTTCACCTATCCGTTCGGGGTTTGTTTCCCGGAATGGATGTGAAAAGGTATGGGGTCACCTGCCCGACCACGTGGGTTTTCCCCGGGTACTCCGGTTTCCTCCCACGGGCGCTTCCATCCGAGTCAACAAGAGTGATTAATATAAGTTGGAAAAACTTGCTTCCCAATTGTTGTAAAGTTTATCATTATTATTATGTCAACAAATTTAGGTTGGGACTCTAAGTAGGTGAAACAATTCCCGGTCGCTCATTGACTGGTTTGGTCGCGGGCGTCTGCGGATTCAGTTCCGCACAAGGTGACATACACGGAACATAACGCATTTACAAAACACACATATTCAACATATACCGTCATCCTTCATACGGTTTGGCGCCATCTTTAGAAACAATAGAAACCATTTTTTTTCTTTCTGTTTTGTCTCTACATATACAGACAACGCGACAGCGCACATATACATATCGGAACACGTTCATCTGACTATCTTTTCAAAATTCATCAAAATAGAATAATGTAAAAAATACAACTTTGTGTAGATATTGAATCAAACACTTCATTTCGTCCGAAATATTGAGATGAGACGAATATTGATGAAACACCTATTCTTTCATAGGATTATCCGACTTCACAATCCTGCGTTTATTATTAATCTGGTAAAATGTCAGAAATGAATTGTATAAAATAAACCAAACTTTAAAAATCCATCGTAGTACATTATCCTGAATTCAGATTCCTCGTAGATACTAAAATTAAAAAAGGATGTACATTTATATTTAAGGAATTCCGGAACATATATATATAAACACGCATATAAAACAACTCAATGATATAGATATATATATATACGTTACAATTTTAATTAAATTCAGTTAAATATATGTGATGAACAGAGGTATCTAAGCGACACATTTACACTTCGGACATCCATCTGTATCAATCGTGATGCCGAGGTTACACGGTGCTGAACAACGGACAGGCGGACAGAGTTCTGTGTTATCGGTGGGCGCAGGTGTGATCACTGGCGTCTCAGTGACCACGGCTCCTTGTGTGAGCGCATCTGTTGGAGATGGTGTGACTGTCGGGGAATTTGTAGGTATAGGCGCCTTGGTGACGATTTGTGTCGTAAATGGAGCTTTGGTGTTTATCGCTGGTGGTGTCGTGGTCATTGTCTGAGAAGACGAGGTGCTGGTTTGGACACCTGATGGAATAAAACATGGATTGTTGTAGGAAATATCGAGACCTAGATTTCAGCAAAGCGTCTCCCACATGAAATAAATTACGTGAAACCTTTATAAAAAAAAAAAAAAAACAGTAGCCACAGCTCTGTGTAGCTCTGTAATCACTGGAAAATGATATTTTAAACAGAGTTGCCTCCCTTATCATATATGGCAGAAATGATAATCATATGGTCTTTAAACCAGAAACAGTACTCCAGTGCAGAAATAATCTTAGTCAAGTATCTCTTGAGATTTTTATAAAAAGATCAAGCTTCGTGGTGACAGAGAGTTACCTCCCTTTGATGTATAATTTAAACGCATATAATAACACAATAACACTAAGCATCTCTCACCAGATGCACAGGCACATGACATACATCCTCGATTGTCCATCTGGATACAGTCAGCTGCACAGGTCATAGGGTTAAATGATGGACAGCCGCCCGGATGTACATTTCCACTTCCGGAAGGATGTGATGACGGTTTTGTCGTGGTTGGACCAGTTGGAACACCTACCAATGGTAAAACGGAATATTAAGATAAATACTATATTTTTCAAGACGAACTTGTACTGCAGTTTAACTTCCGAGTATGTTCTGATTATCCGAATATATTCTCACAATTCGAGTATGTTCTTATTATCCGAATATGTTCTCCTGTTCCGAGTGTGTTTAAGTTTTTCATTTTAGATTTAGGTGTCTTTTCATCTGTAACAGCAATATCTTTCTGTAGATGCTTTGTCAAAATATCTGATTGTACTGTGGATCTCAGTTCATCTGATTTGTAAATTGTTCACTTCAATTTCTTAGCTTTCAGCGATAAAGCAGAAAACGTTTTCACTACGCTGTAACCCACTGTCGGTGGGCACAGTCTTATGTCAGTGGACACAGTCTTATGTCAGTTGACACCGTCTAATGTCGTTGGGCACAGTCTTATGTCAGTAGACACCGTCTAATGTCGTTGGGCACAGTCTAATGTCAGTGAACACCGTCTTATGTCAGTGGGCACAGTCTTATGTCAGTGGACACCGTCTTAAGTCAGTGGGCACAGTCTTATGTCAGTGGACACCGTCTTATGTCAGTGGGCACAGTCTAATGTCAGTGGGCACAGTCTTATGATAGTGGAACAAAAATGGAAATGTGTCTCGTTTAAGTAAATCATGTCACTTTTGATCACAGACTATCATTTCATCAGAGGTAAAATGTATAAATGATAAACGAGGGCTTAGGGTAGTCTTTTTCTATTCAATTCAATCACAAAAGTGTTTCATATCATAATTTAGACAGAAAACACTATGAACAATTGGGATTTAAAACGTTCATATATGTACTAAACATTTCATAATCCTGATCAACTCGCAATATGTCAGCTTCTTTCAAAGCTTGAACTAATGGTTCGAAACATTCCAGACTTACTTGTAGTACAGGTACAGGACATACATCCTCGATTGTCCATCTGGACACAGTCAGCAGCACAGGTCATAGGGTCAAATGATGGACAGCCGCCCGGATGTACATTTCCACCATCACTAGATGGCGTTGTTGGCACGTGAGAAGTTCCATGACCTATAAGTTTATCCAATGAAAACAGTAAAACTAACGTAAAATTCGTTATGATTGATATGTGTCGCTG